GTGTTAGAGGAATGAGAGACTTGGTGAAGAGAGACAGAGCGAGTGAGCATGTGTTGGAGAAAGAGAGCGACAGAGCATGATAGAGGATGGAGCAAGGGGGTTGGCTAAGCAACCTTGGTGCAATTTGTCTTCATGCAGCCGGCCCCTTGCAACGTCCTGCAGGCCCATGCTATTTTCCCTGACAAGCTTGTTGCCTCCAGTGCAATAGGTGATTTACCTCTCACTGTGGCACTGACCAACATTCCATTCTTGGAGCAGAGCAGAGAAAATCAAAAGTCTGGACTTCACCGTTAATCACTAATTACAGGTTGGATGGTGAAGGTTGATCCTTCCTAGGAGAGTCCCCACAGGCCTCAAATCAGACCAAAAAGAGAAGCCAAGGCCACTTCCGCGTCTGATAAATCTCTCACGGAGGAGGTGCTGGACTCAAAGTGTTTGAGTCGGCTCCAACAGCCCAGACTCCCATCTCTCTGAGGAGTTTCTCATTCAGGTCGAATACTAGCCTTCACTTCCTTTGCTCCCTCCCCTCCTTCCTCCATCCCCTAGCTAAAGCTATGATGGAGCCTGCCTGGCTGTCTGTCTGCCCACTTTCTTCTTTAAATTCTCCCTATAACTTCACACGTTTCTATTCCCCAAGGGATCAGCGGCAAATCGAGTTTGTTGCTTGCAGCGTATTCCGAAAGCATTAAGATACAAGGGGGCTGTAATTGAATGGTTAGGGAGGACATTATTGAAGGAGATTTTTGTCAGCGTTTCCACCCACCACCACCACCTCAACATCACGAAGAGCACCAAGTGGCTGCATGGTGTGTTGATCTGCCAGCTATAGTGTTATTAGTGTCAGGGGAGGAGGAGGGTTAGGATTAGCCATGCGTGACTGGTGGAAGATCCACTTTCTGTGATTCTTCACTTTCTGCATCACTTCTGATTTAAGGTGTTTTTCTTTCTTTGTTGTTTGTTCTCTTATTTCCTATCTATGCAATTATTTTTTATCAGATTAATTGGTTTGCATTTTTTTGTTGTGGTTCTTTTTGGCCAACCATTTTCTTACACCATTACATCTGCACTAAACCTTAAGATGTAACATTTTTTAAAACCTAAAATTTGTATTTATTTGAGAAGAGAAAAAAAGCTGAACAGTCAAATGATTACCCAAACTGTGCATTGTAACATCCATTACAGTTTACAGAACTTCCTGGTTCAGCTTTAACCTACCGTACTGGTTGCAGTTGACTGCACTCACATTCTTTCTTGGATAATGAGTGGTTAATAGCAACATTACAGGGGTATTTTTTTTATCTCAGAAATAGATTTGAACTAATCTGTCAGCTTATATACAACTTTTTTATTTAACCTATTTTTGCAGTGTCGTCATGCTGCAAAATCACAGCAGCTCCTCAAGTACAATGTTATCTCAACCGATGGAACTGCCAGAGCTAGAAAAACAAAACCCAAGTTGTAATAAACAATATTTGTCCACTTACATTAGCCATCCTAGTGGGTCTGGGTCTGTGACAAAGAAACAACTCAGTCAAAATGCCTGGTTCTATTTAGCTCACCTCATTTCAGAAGAGTTTGTGCTTTAGCTCTTATGTTTCAGTTTGTTCCATCCTGCAAGATGAGAAAAGTCCACCAGAATTTAAAAAATGACAAGTGGGATGATTCTACATTGTCTAAATTATGGCGACATGTTGTAATCTTTTGCTTCAGATCCACTTTGTCAAGATGTTAAGGGTGAGTGCGTTATTACTTTCAAATCAGCTGCAGCTACAGAAGCATATCTGTGAGCCCAGTGCTTTTCGTTGTTAAGACTACTATTCTGCTGAACTTGAACAAACTTGAAGTTGATCCACTGTGGTCTCACTGGATAAAATAGTTTTATTGAGGACCTGTAAAATGTTTTCTTTCTTTCCAGTCATCTCTTTTCTCTCTGGCCATGCTGGCTCTCATATCACCCCTGCTGACTGCTGTTGTCATGTCTTTATTATATGCAAACAGCTCTTAACTGATCAAACGTGTTCCATCAAATGATTTCTGTCACATTATGATTTCCAGAAGGGAAACTGTTTAAGTCACTTTATCAAGTTGGTTATTGCTTTTCATGTACCATTTAAACCCTTCCTTTTCTAGTTCAATTCAAGTGATGGTTTATGTTTGTGACAAGAGAAATCTCCCTCTGTGCAGGCCATCACAAGACATTTTTATCATCAACCAATGAAAGAGACTGACTAATGAAGGAATACGTTCATGTTTGCTTTTTCGAAATGAAAGACTGATTGACTCGTTAATGAATGTTTAAATTGCTTTCTCATTGCCTCCCATGCATGGGGATGTGTATTACTCATGTTCTGGGGACGTACCTGTTTACGCAGTCACATTGTGGGGACTCACCTTCCTTTTAGGGACAAAATCCAAGTCCTCCTTATGTAAATCTAAGGGTGAAGACTTAGATTAGGTTAGGTTTAGGTTAAGGTTAGGCTAAGGTTTAGTGTTAGGCAAGTAGTGGTTATGGTGAGAGTAAGTATACAGGAAATAAATGTAAGTCAATGTAATATCCTGTGAAGTGAAGTGATGAAACACGACTGTGTGTGTGTGTATGTGTGTGAGCGATGATTTGGTATGCATAATTATAATGAAACACTTAATTTTGAAATTATTTGTAAAATTCAGAGTACTACAGTTAAAAACTGAATAAAGTGCATCAACAAGAAGAATGATTGACAATGAAGTTTAAAATGCTTATAAAATCTAAAGACCACTTACATATACACATACACACATGGCGGTGGACACTGCAACAAGATCACCTGTAATATATACTACAGTCTGATGCAATAGCCTAGCAATATAAACTGGCTTCATGGAGCTGATAATGTTCAATTTTTATCAACTCTGTGACAGAGGTGTTGGCTCAACACCATTAGTTTTTGAGGTCAATATTAGTGGTGTTGCATTGAATTACATTATATCATAGGGTGTTTCTGATCTGATTTCTGATATTGTGCTCAAAGCAGTGAGCCAAGATAAGCAGAAACTGCTTTTTCAAACAACTATTTTCAGAAGTATCAGCCTGGGTAAAAGTGATTTTCACCTAGACTTTTGAGTCCCATGTACCCTGCAGTTTTCTGCAGAAAGAGCACATTGAAAACTGTTTATGATTCTATTAATAGAAGGTGAAGAGAGCAATGACAAATGCAACAACAAAAAAAAAGGAACATGCAAATGAGCTTCTGATTATGCACCCCACATAGGTGGAAAAAAATTAGAATCCTGCCTAAATCAATGGTTGAAGGACTGTATTTGTGCTGAAAATTGTATTTTTAAAAACAGATTATCACCCATTAAATAATCAAATCAAACTGTTTTTTTTGTTCTTTTTTTTCTTAACGCAACACAACACCAGGACAAACTCTATTCTCACAAATTACTACAGACTTGGATTCACTCTCCACTAACAGTATAATCACCTCAACTTAGAGTTATACTCCACTCAGAAGAAACGGCTGTTATTAATCCTCTAATTTTGATGTAATCCTGGCAGAGATTTTCCTGGTTTTAAGCAGGGTTTTTATCAGGCCAAATGATAGATTAGAAGTCTTAACTCGGAGCTTCACACTGAAAAGAAGTATGAGTTGTCTCACGGCTTCAGTCTGATTGGCTTGGATCTAAAGGGCTAGCTGAGGTCACAGTTCAAAGACACAACAAGTGGACCAAACACAGCAAATGAGTGAGAAGGTTAAAAAAGCATTCAGACGCTGTTGGTAGAGGGCCACTGGAGTCATGCTGTAATAGAAGGTGCTCTCATCCTTATTCTCTGGGCTGTGGCAAGTGAACACTGTCTGTTGGACCTGCTCTTTCATTAGGTTTTGTATTTCATGCCCTTAGGAGCAGAACAAATTGAGTCTCTGTTTCCTTTTGCTCCGTTGCTCATTACCCAAGAGAAAGATTAAAAGGCATTCTCTCACAGACCACGTTACATAATACCACGAAGAATGGATGAGTGTACATTGTACTCATCAAAATACTGGACACACAAAGGGCGTTAACCAACCATAGCCCTGCTGACCTCTCACCAACCCACCCTGGCTTTTTTGAGGCAATATTTGCTCTCCGTAATGGAGTTGGAGAACACAGCCACATCTCCTCATCACACGTTTTAAAAACTTTTTTAGTCAAGCAAAGTAAGCAGCGACTGGTCAAGGTCTAGGCCTGTGTTTCCATGGGGAACCTCTCTAGCAGTGCCAGCATTTTTTCCTGTGTTACTTTCATCAGAATGGGTGTACTCCTGGGATTTTAGAGCATGGAAAGCCCGGCTTGTTTTAAACTCTCAGAACACTGAGCATTTTAAAAATACTCCAACTTCTAGTTACAAAGCAGCATGCTTAGACCAGCAGCACTGGTACCTCCCAAAAGTGTCTGTTTTGTACCATTAGCTAAAAAAGAGGTACATAGTGGTAGACCCAGGGTCCTTAGAGAGACTGATAGAGAAAGTAGGATTTCCATTATAGTATCATTACATAAATTATGCAAAGTATTTACAAAACATTTAACTTAATTCCTTCCCATTACTTTGCAAATTGCAATAATTGTGCTGCCTCAGTGCATCTTTAACTAAAAAAACCATCTGCCTCTATAGCACAACAACAGCTAATTGAGACACTCTGTATTTTGTTTTCTTGTTTTCAGGCTTCATTAAGAGAAAAATGTGGGTAAAAGATAAATTCTTGCTTTGTGAAGTGTCTCAGTGAGTTTATGCCTCTGAATGATGAGCCGTTACAAGAGAGAAGCCCATCAACTCTCAATTATACTGCTATAGGTGGACTCTGACTTGAACAGCTTTCCTCCCTTGTTGAAGCTAACTTGTTCAAAAAACAAAAAAATCAGAGAACTGGAATTGTTGCCACTTTTACTCAGAAGTTAAATTTTTATCTCTCAAAACTGAAATTGAGTCAGTCTCCTCCTCATCTAACATTGTGTCATTTTTTTCCTCCCTTCAACAGATGTGTACCTGCTCACCCTCCCAGACGACCAGAAAGTGAGCGTCACCACTGTAACAGTTGGCCAGAGCACCGTTTTGACTTGTGCCATCACTGGAGAGCGGAGGCCTCCTATATTGTGGAAGAGAAACCATCAATATCTGAACTCCTTGAACCTGGAAGACATTAATGTAAGAGCCAGCTGACATCACTCTCTCTGATTTATTGTTTTTTGGTAGATAGATCGGTAGATGAGAAAGATAGATTGGTGGATAAGTAATTGACACACAGGTAAATATATAATGTGATTTATAGTTAAAACATGCAGTTCACAGGTCTAATTATTGCATTTTCACCTTGTGAAGCATCATCAATTCTTAACTACTGTTTCAGAGCCGTCCCCTTTTTGAGCTGTAAATTTCAGATAATTTCATCCTATATTTCTTTCTCATCATATTTCAACTTTATTTTCTTGGCAGTGGCTCAGATAGTCGGCACATTTTATTTGACTGTTGGTGCTGGCTTTGTATTGTAAGTCTGACAGTAATCCAGGATGTCAGTTTGTGTTCTTGGTGTCTGTGTTTAGAGACTGCTGGGAGGGACAGGGATTTCAGACAAAGAAAGAAGATGAAGGGGGATACCAAAGGGGTTCAGCCCTAGAGGAAAGACCTATTTTTACAACTCGGTGAAAGACTGTATGTGTATGTATGTGTCTGTGTGTGTGTATGTCTGTGTGTGTGTGTGTGTGTGTGTGTGTGTGTGTGTGTGTTAATCTGCAACCACAGCCCCAGACAGCCCTCTGTGTCACTTTCATCCACATCAAAAGGAGCAAGGACACTTATGTGGTGAGGTAAAGACAAGGCAGACCTTCTTCGCCTCACCCTTCTCCTCTCTGTGTGTCGGGGCTGACCAAGATGAGTGCGATACTGGTGTGCATAATTAAGTCAACACTGTCGCAGTAGATAAAGGGAGACCCAGCGAAGCCACTAATGTAACATTAAATGTTGATGACCCTTAAAATGAGTAAGAGGCGCCCAGCTGTCGCCAGTCATCCTTGGCACTATCAACTGGCTCTAAACTAGAGCGCTGGTTCTGGGTGTAGGTGATGTGTGATTCCCATAAAGAGTTGCGTCAACACTGTGAGGTGATTTTTAGGCTGTGCAGATGAGAGTAATGGCTTTTCCACTTTTAGTCGTTTTCAATAATGTATTATGACTGCTTGTAAGCAATTCACTGCCAAAATGATGTATGCAGGTGCTGGGTGTGACAAAAAACCGAAATGTCAAGTCAGATTATTTCTTGAAAACGCTCTGAATATCTTTTGGAAGATTTATAATAAAAAAAAGAGAGGTGCGAGGTCTTGTAAGGTCAACGCAGGCTTTGATCTATCTTTCAAATCTTTTTTTTCCCAAGAACTGTTTTACTTATTTCTTTTTTTTCCAGATTCAATAGAAGTCGTTTTTGTTTCATCTGCTGATATTGCCTGGAGACACATAGCAGAGTTCAGTGTCCCGACCAGGGGTGGTCTTTGTCAGCACTTCACACACAGTCATCAGTTTCCCGGAGACTAATATCAGATCTTGCACAGGTGGATTTTCAATTCAAATGTCAGCTCAGCGATGAAAGCCCCTGCTGCCAGATGCTGCTCAGTATACCCATTGTAGCAAAAATAGCTATGTGAGAAGTTCATCAATAGCTGGAATAATGACAGCACATAAGAGCAAGGACCTGGAATGACCTATTATCCTTAAATATTGGTGGGCATTGTAATATCACATCAGAACTTTTCAGTCTGTCTTTTTTTTATCTTTTCACTGTGGAATCATACAGTCATACAATGGAAAGAAGGACAGGCTCTGTTGGCAATCAATCAAAGCTTGGCCTTTTGTGGTTTGCAACTATCAAAATTTGATGTCAGTCCACAGAACTCATAGCCCAAGTTATATACATCATAGATAGAACGGAGCAGAAAGAAGGATGCCACTAACACTTGCATTTTAATTAACCCTGAACCACTTTGGTACCCCCAGGATCTTTATATTTCCAGCATTTCATGTTGTTGCATAAAATCACACTTCTTCTGTCTCTGTGGTACATACAGCATGTTGGGTTGGAGCCAGTGGAGCTTCATGTAACTTCTACAGGGACTAACTGTCTCTTCAGACTGAGAGAACTCGCTGTACTTTGACCCTGGAGGTCTGCGATTGTCAGATTAGATTTTTTTGTTGGTGTTTTACAAAGCCATAGTTTACAACCTCTGCTAGTGCACAGATTACCTCCAGAGCAGCTGCACTAACAAAGAACACCAGCGAAGTGAATCACCATGAGCGCTAACAGTCTCTTGTGGTTCATCAGAAAACTGTGTGCAAACCACGCAGCACCAAGAGAAACTACCAATGGAACTCGAGCAGCACCAACGGCGGGTTAATCCAGATTTATTTTTGGCTCTCAGACTTCCAGTCAATCATTGTTGTTCCTTCCAGAGAGGAGAATGGATTTTGTCTGCACCTGGCATCCACAGACTAATTCTAAATTGCCTTGCAGACAATTTCTGTATAATTGCTGGCTGTTAATATTTGTGAGTATCCACTGCCAGCCTTAATTAGAATCATATTCCTGTGAGTACACACGGAGGTTTATGTATTCTGATTTCGCAGGCCTTCCCAGTTTAGAATGTGGTTTATTTTAGACATTTTGTCGACATTCATACTTAGTGAATCGCATATTAATCCCAGTGGTGCGTGTGTATCCCAGAGTTCAATAGAGCCTCTCTAAATTTTGACAAAGCAGCTTACTGTAATTCCATGAAGTTGACAGTTGCTGGCTATTGCATCATCATCCAAGGCTGTCAGTATTTCAATCCTCCCTGAGTGGCCGAGCCAAAGACACAGTCGTGTTTTTTGTGTTCATGTCTGTGTGTGTATACATTCATGCATGCGTTTTGGGATGCCGATCCTGTGGTCCCGGAAATAGTACAGAAGATGAAAAATACATTTTATATTTTGTAATTCTTAAAAAGTTTGGAAATCCAACAGTGTGAAAGTGCATGTTTGGAGAAAGATTGTAAAAATTGCACAAAGTCATCAGCTACTTTTTGGGGTAACATATCCTAGTAAGTTAACTTGCAAGGTCACTATAAAGATATATCTGATTTAGCTACAAAATCTTTAAATTCAATATTGAAAAAAACCTTTAAAATAATAGAAACTATGTTTTGAAGACTGCATCTTCATATATATACATCGTAGGAAGCAGTACAATCTGAACTGAATCTTTCTTCTTCTCCCTTCTTATCTTGTCCATTGGAATAGGTGATTTTATCTTCCTTAATGCTTGGGTGACTTATTCTTGTGGCCTTCACATTATTTCTGCATTGTGGAGATGTACTATACGTAACATTAAATGTATGTGATCATTTCTAACATCTACATTCAGTTTTGATCAGTGTGGACCACCTCCTGTGATGCAGTTTGTATTCTGCCTATGCTGTTTCCAGAGGATGAATACATGAAGCCGTGCAACATTATAGAAATAACACATGAATCACTGCGGCCTGTATCATTATATCTCCAACTTCTATCCGAAAGATTTTTTTACTGAATTAATCATGTTGTCTGGGAGCGCAGAACCACACTCCATGTACTCATCTGTACTACTCCTATATTATCCAGACATGAGATCTACATTGAAGTATATACTGTACTTTCATAACTGACCACAACACCAGCAGTGCTTACGCCTGTTTGCTTTAAAATCTGTTTCTTATGCCTTAATGCTTTTTATTGAACTAAACCTCTGAATGTTTTGCCTATTTTTCTCCCCCAACAGATGCCGTCCCAGGTAGGGTGTTTTTGTTTCCACAGACTGACATTGCCTCACTCTTTTTATTTCTCTTCCATTCACAAAAAGCCCACAAAGCTATTGAGGTGCCTACAACATGTAACTGAGCATTGTTATTTTCCTGAAAATGAATTCTACAGCAACAGCGTCATTTTAATTACTATAAACTGTTTTTGCAAAACCAATAATCTGATTAAAGCATCACACAAAGATTCAAAATGATTTGCATGTGTTGAAAATTGGAACTCTATCACTCTCGTGAGAGTTAAAAGCAAATATTTATGCCTGTCAGAAACAAAGTCTACCCGCTATTTTGAAGGGTATTTTTACCCAAATTACAAGTCAACATATTTTGTCACCTACCTCTGGTGGTAACAAAGCCCTGCAGATAGTTTTGGTTTTAAAATATATAACCTCAATCTGAATTGTTGTTTCTTTTGTAAATAGCAGTTCTAGTTAAGTCTGTGGAGTAGGCAGAGTAATTGGGAACATTGTTTATCGAAAAATGCTGCTCAATCTTTTTCAAATGTCACTTTATAATATATATATAATGGTAGAGGCACAAATGTTTGCAGCACAAATCGTAAGACATTGGCAAACTGAAACGATCTGTGTGGCTAAAAACCACTAGAGGTAAGTGTGATTTTTGGAATTTGGGTGAACAAGCCAAAATGTCTTTATTTGCGTTCCCTCAATAAGCTTTCATTGAGAGAAAATACACTTTTTGTTCACAACACTTCACTCAACATACTGTGTACCTCTCTCGAAGTTTCATAATCTCTTCGAAGGCCATTTTCTGAAAAGCCTCGTCACTGCCAGAGGTTAGATATCCAATGAGGTGGCTCTTTAGTGTCCTTTCAGAGGTGACCTGGCACTGACAGCTTTATTAATTATAGTTTCTTGAGGGCTATGGCCTATTTGTAAATCCACCTCTACCTGCCCTTGTCTCCCTTCTCTCTGAGTAGTCGTACACCGGCCTGCTTTGTCTGCAGAGAGCTGGGTGCTGGGTGCTGCTGATAGCTGAGGCGAGGGTGGTGAGGTGAGGTGGAGGAATCATGTCGACAGCCTCCGCTGTGGCTCGTTCCACCCCTCTGAGTTTCATTTCTCCCCCCATTCATTTTTCATTTAAGAAGGTGACACAATATGCTCTCAGCCCAAGGGGCCAAAACGCACCATCGATTTCCCCTCATATCGTGAAGCTCTGACGCTTTACTCAGCACGAGCCGTTACCATGCTCGTAGGTTAGATCGGAGCAAACCAGGACGAACTGATAAACACACTTTATGCCTGTAAACACGATGGCTGACTCTCCTCGCTTGTCTGTAGATATTTGAGGGGAAGCTGAATGCCAAGATGTAAACAGCCAGCAGAGATGTGATCGAAAAGTTAAAAGCTATTTAATGGGAGAAGGCCCTTCCTATGAACTCTTCTGAAAGAGGACTGGTAATTAGGACCAAGTCTTTTTTAATAAAAGATTGCTGTGTTCAGTTATAAAAACGAGAGGCATGGGGGCAGACTCATGGACATTCTTAAGAGCAAAAGTTCACACCACTAAACGATAGCTGAATGATTTTTTAATGCAAGGCAGCAATCAGGAATGAAGATGTTTTGGCACATCATCAGTTAGTGGGCAACAAAGAAAACCTTAATGAAGGTTGAGTGCTGGAGCACATTCATTTGTGAAAAGCTGCCGTGCATCGGAGAGTGGTGAAAACCTATTATTGTAAGCACAGGCAGTTCTTTAGTTTCTAAGTATCCCTGAAAACATTTATAATATAATCATTTGATTTAGTTAATGTGTTAAATGGATATTGTCATATAGTGTAATGTAGATTTAATTTTTTTCCTCAAATTAGATTAGATTATTTCCAGTAGTTTAGTTTCTCTGTTTGGAGAAGTGAAAAAGACATGAAATAAAGATAGATTACTATACCAGGGCCAGTTGGGAGTAATAAAAAAAGTCTCACTCCTACTCACGGTGAGGTTTAAGATTAACCTTTTAGAGTAACTCTCAAGCAGTAGTGCAGATTGATCACGTGCACACTCAGAGCAGGGATAGCCAATCAGCTACAAGGAATTTGCCTCACTCTGTCTTTTTTTTGTTTTTTGTTTTTTTTTTGGGGGGGGGGTAAATCTTTACAATCACATTATAAATATATATTATGCTCCAAACCGATACATACTTTTACAAACTTAATTCATGTGAGATCTTCTGGATCTCGTGTAGGAACTAACATGTAAAATTTGCAACTAACACATGAAATTAACAACAATCTAATATGTTTTCAATGTATAAATCTATACGTAAAAATTGGCTGTAATGAAGACTATGATACAAAAAAAGTCACAGCAGTAACTTGTCAAAATGACTTTGTACTGTGTGATCTTAAGATGGCAGACATTCGCTCTTTGCCAGACCGATTCATCACACCAGCACACTATCAACAGGCTCATTAGCTTTGGGGGCTTCTACCTGTGCTACAGCTGAGGAATGTATTCTTCTCTTTGCTCTCTTTGCTTGTCCAGCACCATTTTTTTGTGTTCACTGACTTAATAATCAGCACAACACAGCATGAATTAATTAACCATTAACATGATTAACATCATGGATAGGTTTTGGTTTAATTACATATTTTATTTTTCTTTAAATAGGCCACATGAGCATTGAAGTGCAACATGTTTTGTGCATTTGTGGAAACTGCATGTTAACCAAATTGTACCAGCTTGCATTTGGGCCTTTTTAGGGACAATGACAGTGATATTTGAAATGAGCAGCAGAAATTATTTTGATTGACTGTTTGTCTGCGAAACTATATTTCCCTGTTTTTGTTCTGAAGGCAGCTAACACTGTAATTTCTACACTAATCAATTATAGCCTCAGTCCCTTTCCATCAGATCACTTTCCTCTGATTGGAAAAATGACATGTTCCAGAAAACAATTTTTCTTAACTGGAATTTTGACAGTTATTTTCCTTAGTTGTTTTCTGTGGCACCAAATGGCTCTAACTTTTGACTTAGATTGATGGGCATTGCTCTACAATGTGCCTTTTTGGGCTATTGTTATATTTTTCATTTCCTATGCTATGAAACATGTTTATCATCTCATCTGCACCCTGCAGACTTGCTGCATTCCCATTGAAACCGTTAATTTCCAGCTTTAAATGCCTTTAACCATTACTATTGCTACAAGACCATCTCTAAGTCATTAAAAGTTTATTTTTCTCTTTCACTTTCTCTCTCTGGTAGGACTTTGGGGATGATGGCTCACTATACATCACCAAGGTGACCACAACCCACATGGGCAACTATACCTGTCATGCCGATGGCTACGAGAAACTTTTCCAGACCCACACGCTTCAAGTGAATGGTAAGAGGCTGCTGGACAGAGGGAACACATATTTATTCACGTACTTCATCCTCCATCTCATTTTAGTGTTTACTCACAAAATACTTTAACCTGCTCACCTTGCTTTTCCCTTCAGTTCTCTCTTCCCCACGCGCACACACATGCACACGCACACCTTGATGATTGTTGAAACAACAACAGAAAGAGAACAGAAAGGTTTTTGTGGGTTTTATTTTGTTTCTGTTGAGTTTGAATGAAGTGTTACAATGTCACAAGGAAAAAAGCTGTTTTTCTCAATGAAATCTGGTGGCTTTGAACACAGCAAACTGCTGTTTCTGGTCAAACAAAGAGGATCTGAGCCTGTCAGTGGCAAAACAACGAGCACTTTTAGTGGATGCACATTGACGGTGCACAAGTGCACATAAGGATTATGTTCCAGCCAGTTTCGTGGCTGCCAACTGCAGCCCTCTTGCTCAATACTGGACCGAATTCAAAAATTGTTGTCCACATTAGTCACTTAGACACAAAAACATAGGAAAATAGGGTCCAGGTTGAAAAATACTGAAATTACCCTTTAACAAATAGATGCAGAATAAGACTAAAACCAAAATACTTCAGGATAGATTGTTATCAGTCATTGTCCATCCTATGTTTGCAGCAGCATGCCACTCCCCTCTACTCTCATTCTCGCTTCCCTCGGCGCCTACCCTCTGGCAGACTAATATTATGTAAGACTATCCCTGTTGAGATTTACAACCAGTCAGAAATAACAAATGACAGCATGTGACTGTGACACTAGCAGCAGTGTCTGTTCATATTTATTTTGCCATACAATGCCATTTTCCAGTAAAAGATTTATATTCCACTTCATGCTAATTGACGCTATATGAATTCTGAAACAGACACCGTATGGAGAGGGCAAAGGGGTAGTGGCTGGATTAAGATTGTGTGAATGAGCTAGTTTTCTCCAATACTGGTCCTAATTAGTTGAATATGAATAAGCTCCACATCTTTATTTAGTGATACATTTGACAGACAGTTAGCTCATTATCATTCTTCTAAAAGAAATTTACTCCAAGGTTAATTGCAATGAGATACAGGTCCTATTATACCAAGTATTGTGTTTACGGAAACAGAGGGAATCTCATGAGGCCGACTACTTTTGGTCGTAATTGATACTGAAACTTCCAGATGACCTTTTTTACTGCAGGCTATGAATTTTACATTGGTAGTCTGGCTGAAGTCTCCGAGGACCAGCTATCACCCTGCCATGACTACTGAGATTTTCTAAAACTCAATTAAGAAACAGTCGAAAGAGAGGGTAACTCTGAGAAACTGGATTCAGAATGCTGTCCATCACTCCGAGGCCGCACGAGAATGACAAGATATACTGTGTTTTAGAGTTTTATTCAGAATAGCTGATGAAATTTGGAATGGATGAACTTTTAATGAAACTTTTGATTTCCCTGTGAAGCAGGCAGAGAGCAGGGCGATTAGTTTATTTTATTTTATCTTTCAGGAGTCTTAGGCTTTGATCTATACTTTACCTCCTTACACACACAGACGCATTAAAATGTCCCTCATGGATTTTACACATGCTATTTTTTTTTGTATTGTCCATCTGTTTTTATTGACAGTCAGCCTCATTGTAATGTCTGACTCATCTTGATGAATACAGTTGAATGCTTTTCATTTTACACTATTATCTTCAGTGTGTTATTTTGTGTTATCCTCCGTATGTTGTGTCAGCTGTGTTCTTTTGTCTATAGCTCCTTCTTCGTTGCAGTGACCCCACTTTACCCACGCAAATCAATAAAGTTGCATCTAATTTGTACTGTGTCTGCAAAGTTTGCCCACTCTTCCAGCCACTTTAGCAGAAAACAAATGGCTGTTTGGGGTAAATTAATGAAAGTCTTGGTTGAATTGTCAAATATACCAACCACTTCTGCTGCTGGAAAAATAAATTTAGTTTTCCACCCTGGAAAGCTGCATTCATTTTGAAAACATAATTTGAGATCTAAGTACTTTTGATGGGTAAAATGTAACAATATGGGTCCTAATGTTGTGTTTACTTCAGCCTGGCAGCTTCATCTTTCAAAAGGTAGCTCTAGCTGTTTGCAATTATTAATGATACATAACACATACATTACTGATGCAGTATACACGCACAGTTCTTTATCAGTGCCATTGCATTATTACCCTCTCACTGTTTTTGAGAATGATCTAATTATACCCTTTTTAGAATCACCACCTTATTCTGGTGTCTTGGTGTGTGCCTCTGTGACCCTGGCAGTGGGTTTGTTGAGGCTAACAGGTCCAGGTAGGGTCTCCCAAGTGAGCGGAGGGGGTACACCAAGAGTGATTCAAAGCCCAGTGGCCAAGCCTATACCCATGGGGCCTTGTTAGGAAGTAATGTGAGACTGCCATGATGTAAGCCTGCAAGGCTAGCTGTCGGTGCCAGGGAAAGGCTGTGGTGTGCTGATGCCTAGCTACAAAACTGGCCCTGGGGACCTGTAATGTCATATTTCTAGTGGGAATAGAGGCCAGGGCTAGAGGTGGAGCTATTACAAGTAGATATATCCAAGTGATTAAATAGTATTTGAGCTCACCTCGAAGCACAGCAGCGGCTCTGGAACCAGAATTAATCGGGGCTGGACTGTATCTTTTTCAAGAGTTGTGGGGAGGCTCTCATGTTAGAGTTATCCTCAGAGAGTGAGAGGGTTGCCCACATGTGACTGCATCTTACAGAAAGGAAGGCTCTGACTGTTGCTGTGCCTAGGCGCTAAAAAGGAGTTCACAGTGTAACGACTTGGAGTGTCAGGTTGCAATTCTGGAAAGTGTGTGCCCAGGATCCAAAATTTGATTTAAAAGCCAATGGCTGGAAAACTGAAAGAATTTACTGGCCAAAATATTTTTCAGCCGACCATAAAACTATGTAAGATACAATGTCATTGAAAACCCTCCTTACCCCTTTATCTCTGAAGCGCCAAATTGAGTTTTGACCTCACTTCCACTGTGGTCTAAATTTCTCCTTTTAGGTTGATCTACTCTGGCAATATGCCCACACATACTTGCAGACTCTTTCTGTGTTACAGAATTACGATACAGTTATTTACGATCATACGTTGCATGCTGCAACCAGTGTGCATAGTCAATGCAAAGCAAAATGCGATCAATCTTCTTATGTGTTTTAGTAATGAGAGTTTGTAGTTAAGTAGGCCTATTCCACCAAACTCCTAATGGCTGACGACCTCATTCATTTTATCCACCAACGTAAATTTTTACTTGCTTTTGGCGAGTGCTAGTTTTGGACCCTGTGTGCGCCACCTGGGGACATCATAGTTTTGTTAGGGGGGGGTTGGGTAACAACAAAGAAACTGGTAGAGGAGTGATAGGAGGAGCTAGAGCTGCAACAATTAGTCGATTAATTTTCAATAATAAAAGAAAATAAATATGCAACTGTTTTAATACCTGATTCAGTTTTCAAGGTTTCAGCTTCTGAAATGTGATGATACGCTGATATTCTTTGTCAAATATATTAGTAAAATCAATATTTTTAGGTTTAAGACTGCACATCAAGCAAATTGAAGGCCGTCACCATGGCCTCTGAAAAATTATTAATGCCATTTTTTTACTGTTTTTAACATTTAATAGACTAAATAATTAATCAGTTAAAAGACAACTTACTGAATACCATTTGCCTTCCAAGTGTGTAGGAGAAACTGTGGAGGGTGAACTTGCAAAACACATGAAAAGCCCTATCTAGAGCTACTGTGAAAACATGGTGGTTCAATATGGCAGACTCCATAGAAGATTAACCCTGTACATTATAAACTGCTGGACACACAGCCTGCGTGAGCAGTGCACCACTGCTACCTCACTGCTGTGGCTCGCACACCTGTGGTGTCCACACAGAGTGTGTTTCTGCTGCTGCGCTGCTGCTACCAGCCCTATCTTTCTACATTGAGTTTGTCTTTAAAAAAATAAAATACAATAAAAGCCTTGTTAACAAATGGAGTCTGTCCAGAGAAAGGCTAGAGAGCTTTTAATCTGAAACAGATACAGGGAGTGTTGAGTTGAAAAAAAGTATTTATATTAATTTTTTCATCTCTGTGACATATTCTACAGAAATAGATATTTAAAGTGAGAGGTGCATAATGTTGATATGACCATGAAGAGATCATTTTCACTGTCTATTTTTGATGTGATTTGCTCGTGGAAAGAACAGGTGAGCCTATTACTCTCTAGGGAGGCCTCGCTGCAGCTGTGCCTGAGACATGTGGCTCACATGGGAAGTGTGGCTGCTGTAACCTGTTAACATTGGCACCGAAATAAAAAGCAAGCTGTTCCGCATGCTGCAGATGTGGGTAGTGTGTCAAAGGTTTAAGGTAACAAAAACAACAATTCTTATTTTCAGGTGATTATACACTAATGAAAACATACCTTTGAATAGTATATTCCAATTCTGCCAATAGATCCTCCTAAATGTTACAAACCTTTAATCATGAAAACAATCAGCAATTCAATGATGAAAATAATCCCTAGGAGGAATGTCCTGCCTGATATAAACCTGTGGCTGAGGGTTGTGGGTTTGTTTTGTTGGGCTTTGTACTGGTCATGGGCTCTATATAATGACCAACATATTAAATATAAAGTAGTTCATAAGTGTACCTGGTACAGAACACCTCAGACCAGTGTTCAGTGATGGACTTTGTGGTCAAAATCTGCCCTACAGACATATGTGATGGAGATTTGTTTGAAGAGAGAAGAGCTTTTAAGTGTTCACTTCTTGGAACGCTGAACCACAGCTGTTCCTGCTGCAAATGATCAAAAACACACATACATTAAACATCAGTTCCTGAAGACATCTGTTTTTATTAAATACATTTCTACCATGCCAATTGATTTTTAAATTTAGCAAATATTTCTTGATAATATTGGTGATTGTTCTAAATAAATAAAAAGGCTCACTCCAATACAAATTTAAATGTGAAATGAGACATGCCATAGCAAGCATCTGA